ACCCCATCGCCACGACACACCACCGCACCCGACGAGCTCTCCATGAGCGACGACTACAGCGACGAGTCTGGAGTGGTAGTATCGTTGGAGGACATTGTTGCCGGAGCCCTTGCCCGCCAAGACGCCGCCTTTGCTGCCGAGCGTGCCCAGTGGGAGACGGCGCTCACCACGGCGCTCGGCCGCAACCTCCCGCACACCACCTCGGGCGAGCCCGACTGGGCTGCTCTCGCCTATCTCATCCCCGCACCACACCCCTTTCCCTCTCCACACACCACACCTCTCGCCACACATCCCGATCCCTCGCCGCATCCCGATCCCTCGCCGCATCCCGATCCCTCGCCGCATCCCGATCCCTCGCCGCATCCCGATCCCTCGCCGCATCCCGATCCCTCGCTGCATCCCGATCCCTCGCTGCATCCCGATCCCTCGCCGCATCCCGCCCGCCCTCGCCCCGCACGCAGCGCCGCCACGAAAGAGAGCTACAAGCTGAGCTCCATCGTCAGTCGGCAGCCCGCTCGGCTGCCTCCCGCTCAGAGTCCACTCCTGCTCGATCACTTCCTGATCAGAGCGATGACACAAGTGCGCCTGGCCTCCATGATACACCCGAGCCTGGGAGACGAGGGCAGCATGTCCAGCCGCCATCACGCGCGTTGCCTCGACACGACTGTGCTCGGTGTGGAGAGGCGGCGGCTCAGGCGGCGGCCGACGGGTTCATCATCTCTCAGCTCGAGGCTGTGCTCGTCAAGCAGCGGGTCCGGTTCATGGCCCAGCACGATGCGCTCGTCTCTGACATGCTGTGGCTCAAGGCAGGCACTGACGCCGCCGATGCCAACGCCGGAGAACTGGCGCTGCCCGACGCCCAGCAGAGGGCCCTCGCCGCGCTGCACAACCAGATCGCCTTTCTTCGCTCGGCCAACGCCGAGCTCGAGGCCCAATCGAGCTCGCCCATGCGCAGTGCTTTCCTCAGCCGCACAGCCGCACTCCCCACAGCCTCGCCGTCATCACCCGCCGCCGTCGCGGCCGCCGCGCTCAAAGCCCAGGCCGAGTGGGCCGACGAGTGGGAGACCGAGCGCGGCCTCTATCTCGCCCACATCGACGAGCTCACCGCAGACAACCGCGATCTGCTTGCCGCCGTCTCGGAGCTCCAGTCAGCACTCAACATTGTCCACGACACTCCACCAAGCCCCCACGTTCGCCACACTCTCCGGCCCGAGCGCGCGCCGCCGTCGCCGCCGCTGCCGCCATCATCTCGCCGTCGTATGCTCCGCGGTTCCCGGCACAGACGCCGGACAAGCGGGTCTCGGCTCGCACTGCAGCCCTCGAGCGCAAGGTCGCCATCCTCCAGCGCTCGCTCGAGGATGCCCGCGCCGCCGCCGCCCACCAGATGACCGATCTCACCGCTGTCTACGAGGACTCGCTCGCCCTCCACAAGACGGCATCCGCCGCCGCCCTCGAGGCTGCCGACGACGCCGCAGCCGCCCACGAGCGAGAGGCCGCCCTTGAGGTCGAGGGTCTCCTCGCCCACATCAACACCCTCGAGGAGCAACTCGCCGAGGAGCGCGCACGCTCGCAGCGCTCTGCCGTCGCCGCAGACCCGCCTCCACAGCACTCTGCACACCCTCTGCCCGATCCGAGCCGCGTCCGCGAGATGATGATGCACCTCCGCGCCCGCGCCCGCGAGATCCGCCGTCTGCAGAACGCACTCGCCGCAGCACGGAGCGACAAGGACTCGGCGCTTGCCGCCGCTGCCGCCAAGCATGACCGCATGCGCGCTGCTGCCGATGCCGAGGCAGCCGCATGGGCGGAAGCCCGCCAGGCCCTTCTCGCCGAGCTCGCCCTCGTCCGCGAGCGCGAGGCTCGCCTCAAGCGCGACCTCCGCGCCGCAGAAGACAAGCATCGTGAGCTCCTCACCTCGCCCGCCCGACTCACTCGCTCGCCCTCTATCGACATCCGCGCCACCGTCGAAAAGTTCTCCAAGCAAGCCGAGGAGTGGCGCTCCAAGTACCTCGAGCTGGCCCTCTCCATCGACCCCGCCGCCCTCTCCAGCCACGCCTCGATCTCGGCCTCAGCAACAACCGAGTAGCCCCCTCCACACCTACCATCCGGCGCCATCGCCACACCATCAGTACCGTACTGATGATGTGTAGTACATCCCAAAAAATCTGGCTCATGCCCTTCCCCGTCCGCCCGTCCCCGGCAACACTGCTCTCGCTCCGCCGCCTGCCTCTCCGCGACACATGCTCCCCACCAGAACACGACTCCCGCCGGTATGGGCTTCAGGCGACGCTGCCCTGACTCGCTCACAGCTAATCTGCACCCGCCACTCGGGCAAGTGCTCATGCATGCATATCAATACTACCATCACCTCTCGGACAAGGTCAAACACTAGCCGTTCCCGCAATCCGTATCATACCGCCGTTCAGGCGCCAGACGGCCTCGACTCGCAAAATTTGAACAACGCTCAACTGCGGACCCTCGTGGCCACCATTCTCCAACCGACTCTCTCGCCGCCGTTTCGCGCTCATCTGGAAACTGGCGAGCTCGATGACGTTATCGACGACATAATGAGCCTTTGTGAGGTTGCGGCGGTGGCTGCGCATGATGGATGTGAGTTTCCGGATGACGTCGTCAACGAGAGCAAGGCTATGGCGGCCGTCGCGGATCACCTCGCTTCCCTCGTCCTCGCCCGCCCCTTCAATCTCGCCTATCGCAAGGCGCTGAGAGTAGCCGGCGCTGGCAAGGAGAACAGCGCTCCTCCGGCCATGGTCTCGTCGCGCCGTTCGGCCAAGAACGTCTCGCTCGTGGGCCTCGCTCGCGACTCTTCCGCCCGCTCTGATCGCTCCGCCACCACCGCTGTTGCTGCGACTGCCGCCGCCGCTGCTGTGACCGGCTCGCTTGCGCCGCCATCGTGTACTCTCCGCGGCCTCCCGCACATTGTCAAGCCGCGAATCAAGCGGGATCGCCCGCGGGACATCGACTTGGACGAGACCAGCTACTACACTTGCCTGGAGAAGTTTGTCACTCTCATGGCTGTCAGGAGGTTCGACAAAGCGTCCCACCCCGCGCTTCACGCACTCATCGCCGACCTCTTCCACTCGCACCTTTACGCCGCTCGCCACCACGCCATCGTCGAAGACGGCGTAGCCCGGCTCAGGCTCGACGAGCGACCGGTCGCTGCCTCACGCCGCATCCGGCTCTCTGCCCACACCACCACCCGCGCACTCGCTACCAAGCTCCCGTCGTCGCACGATCGCATGGCCGCGCTCCTCGCCGCCCAGGCCCGTCTCCGCTGACCGCTGTCCGCGTTACACCACCGCCGCCAGGCAATCCTTGAACACCTTGGGCAGCCTCGCTGTGTCGAGCACCACAAAGGCCTTGGTCCGGTCCACCTCTTCCAGCAGCCGCTCGGCGTCGTCAGGCGAGGCGATGAACATGGCAAACACGTTGACGTCGGCTGCAGAGTTGAGGACCCGCGCAAGGACCCGCGAGGAGATACCGTACGCCGCCACGTTGGCGTCAGACACCACAAAGGTAAAGTGGTCATCGCCGTCACGCGCGCTCGCAAGCTCGATGCCCAGCGCTGCAGACGCGAGCGTGTTGTCGCCCGACATGGCAAACGACGCGTTCCAGTACATTGTCCGCACCACACTAAGCTTCTCGTCCAGCGTCGTCGGCGGCGCACCAAACGCCACCAGCGGAATGTGCGGCGACTCACCGTCGTGCCCAATCATGGCATACTCGTACTTGGCCTCAAAACCTGCAAACGCCTCCATCAACATCACCGCCGTCGCCACAAGCCGGTCCAGCCGCCGATCCGCCCCGTTAAAGTGGCCCATCGACGACGAGAGGTCCAGCACAAACACAAAGACCTTGGGCTTGGTCTGGAACAGGCCTGCCTCGTCCGCAACCCCGCGCCGCTTGTACACCGCGGCCTCGCCGGCGACAGAGTCCACAAGCTTGGCCTCGTCGAGCTCGCCAAATACCTGGCCCTTGAGCCACACACGCTCCTTCTCCTTCGCCTCGGCGCCGGCGAGCACCACTCGCAGCTGCGCGATCTCACTCGCGACCGCAGAGTATAGGTCCGAGTACGCCGCCTCGTCAAACCCGACGTTGTTGGCCTCGTCTGGGACCTCCTTCGGCACCGCACCCGCTGCCGCTTCACGCGCGCTTGCCACCACACTCGCCACCTCTTCGTCGCTCATCTCAGCCAGGTTTGCCAGCGAGCCGCCGCGCGGGTGTGCGTTGCTACCGGTCCGCGCCTCGACCCGCGCACGGATCTTTGCCTCCAGCCCTGCACTTCCGCTTGCCTCTTCACCGCGGATGTTGAACAGCATGTCCAGTAGCGGGGTCACCGAGCTGCCCGGTCCACCCGAGCTCGACGAGCCCGAACTCGACGAGCGCGACCCTCCGCCCGAACCGCCCGAACCACCGGAGCCACCAGAGCCACCGGAGCCGCCCGAGCCCTCTCCACCCGAGCCGCCGTCTCCAGCCCCGCCCTGACCGCCACCACCGCTTCCGCCCCGCTCTCCATTCCCGCCCCTACTGCCGCCCCCGCCGTCGTCGTCGAACCCGCCCGGCATCCCGCCAAAGTCGGCAGCCCGATCTGCTGCGGCCACACCCCGCACAAATCGCACAATCCGGACGTGGCCGTCGGCCTGGACCACCGCCACCAGATCGCCCTCGAGTGGCGCAACAGCCACTATACCCGCTAGTGCTGCTGACGGCCGTGGGCCGCTAGCGCCACCGCCTCTACCGGCGCCCAGCGTCGAGAACCGCCGCTTCAGCCGCGTCTCCACCGTCAGTTGCGCCACCCGTCCCCGGGCCAGCTCGATCCACTCGAGCCCAAGCACGTCCGGCGTTGCTGACGCCACAAGCAGTGCTGGCCCACCGGCAGAGGAAGACCAGACCGGAGCGTACGCCCGCGACTCGCGGCTTGCCCGCGGCCGCGACAGCTCGTTCGCCTCGCTCCGCGGCCAGCCGACCATCCGGCGGCCGCCCACCACTGCAGCGTGGACCTGCGCGTCGCTGACGACCACCTCGCGCGAGGACGGCACGCCGCTGCACGCGCCGAACCACTTCCCATCGTCCAGCGGCGGACGAAGGCCACCGATGCCATTGTGGAAGACCCCCGGGTTGTACTGCATCTTGGCGCTTGTCCAAACCACCTTGCGCACCCCGACGAGTTGGCCGCGCGTCCCGATTTCGGCCTCCACCTTAGCTTCCCACCACATCCGGCGCTGCGAGTCGGCCGCACCGATGACCACCCGCACAGTTCCGGAGCCCGTCGTGGTGGCGGCCAAAAGCGCAAGCGCAGACAGGCTGCTGCCACCAGGCACCGCCAACCATGCCACACCTGCTGCACTCGTCGAAGAAGTCGAGAACCCGGCCGCAAGGCCTAGCACACTTCCGCCGTCCTCGTACAGCAGCACAAGACCACATGTACCCAGGAGCCCACCCCATAGCGTCAGTGTCGGCACGCGCTCGCGAGCTGGTGGCTTGACCGAGTACACCGTCACATCACCACTTGCCAGCGCCACCGCCAGCACCAGCTCCCGACCGGCGTCCCACACCAGCGCCATGTCGCCAGACGGAGCGAGCGCGAGCGACGGGCTTCGCGCCCGGGACACCTCGCGCGAGTCATGGACCGCCTTGCCAAGGTCGATGCTGCGGACGACGAGGCCACCAGGAACAAGGGTATACACCACAAGCCGGAACGGCTCATTTGTGAGAACCACAACAGTGCCGCGTCCGTCGCTCGCTCCATCGACGATGTGCGATGCGCCAGGCACACCGCTGTCGCCTCGCGCGTCGGCATCCAGCGGATCGTACGGATCGACATACCAGTCGCAGAGCGCCTCGGCAAAGGCCGAGCCGCCGACGGTCGTTCGCCGGCGGGCAAGCGAGCGGCTTCCATCGCCGCCCACCGTGCTGACTTTGAACGGCCTGTACCGGAACGACATCTGGGCCCGGGCCGCCGGGACCGGGCCGGCCACATGCTCCTCCACCGTACCCGACATGCTCACCAGCAGGACCGGCGGCGGGAGTTCAACAACGCTGCCTGCGCCCGATGCCGAGCCCGGGTCGCCGTCGGCGTTGCGGGCGGCAAGGACTGAGTCGATGGGCACGCCCGAGCGGAAGAGCACCTCGACCACATTGTCCATCAGTAGCGGATCGGCAGCGTCAAAGGCAAGCACGTTGTCAAGCACCTCACCTACATCGTCGCGAGGATACGCCTGCAAGTGCTTGACGACATTGACCAGCTCGCGGGTCGAGTACGGATACGAGAGCAGGCCGGCGTCGACGAGCTCACGGAGCTCGCAGAACGCGACCGAGAGCGCAGTGAGAAGGTCGCGCGGGACGGCTGGACCGTAGGCGGCAAGCAGCGCAACCTCCGACTCGGTATCGGGATTGTCAACAACATGGACAGCAAAGACATCGCCCATGACCGCGAAGAAGTCGTTACCGAGGAACGGAAAGCCGGGCCGGTTGGCGAGGGCGATGACTCGAAAGTCGGGCGAAATGTGGATCGCACCCGGCGGCGCAGTACCAGCGGCAGATGGCGCCACAAAGATCCGTCCATCGGCGAGCTCAATGACGCCATCTTGCAGAAGCGCCTTGAGGACACACACCACCTGGGTCGGCGCCTTGTCGGCCTCGTCGATGACAAGCACCGCGCCGGAGATCATGGCTTTGACCAGCGGCGAGTCATCGTACGAGAGCACGCCACCGGTGAGGACCGGGGTGACGGTAAGGCCCGCGACAGTTGTGTCGCGGTGAAGCTGGATGTACTGTCGCTCGCGGTTCATCAGCTGCAGCAGCCGGTCGGCCAGCTTGTTCTTGCCAGTCCCCTGGTTGCCGATGAGCAGCATGTGCTCGCCGAGGGCAAAGTCCTCCAGCATGTCCTCCAGCAGCAGCATGTGTCGTGGAATGTCGTAGAACTCGATCGACGGAACCAGCGCAGGTGACGCCGGTGTCCAGAGCGAGATCGAAGCGCGCCCGATGGTGAGCATGTCACCATGGATCTCCGCTGCTGGTGCAGACAATAGTTGCTGTGTTGCGGCACTTGGTGGCTCAAGACCGCCCGCTTCGATCACCTCATCGACAAGCTTGGCCTGCTCGGCAGGCATGAACCGAACTAGCAGAGTCGAGTAGAGAGCAGGGACCAGTCGTTTCGGCGCGACTTGTGCCTTGTGCACCAGCCGTGCCGTCTGTCGCAGCGAGAGAACGACGTCGAGTGGAATCGATGCGTCGGCGGCAACGGCAGCGAGGCCGTCGGCCACACGGGCAAGAGCGTCCAGGGCCAGACTGCTCCTCGCCCGTGCGAGCATCTCTGCTCGCGACACAGACGTGGCCGCAGGCAGGATGGTATGAAAGTGGAACGAAGCTAGGGCAAAGCCGTCGAGCCATCCACCCGTCTCAGCTCGCGGCGCGCCTGGAGGCGCGTTGGCAGCGGCCTCGACTGGCGGGACAGCCAGCGCCACAAGCGCAAAGCTGTCAGCGATGGGGACGACGCCGGCAGAAGCCTCGAGCTCATCGAGACGCAGGCCGGCTTCGTCGGCGAGGGCGAGTGCGCGGGCGCGGGCCACAAACTTGCGGCCTGACGGCATGACAAGCTCGCGGTGCGAGAAGAGCGGACCAAGGACGCCCAGCGTGCCCGGCGCCAAACGATGGATGCCGTCGAGAACCACCAGCGCCCCGGAGCGGAGGCCGCGAACAAGCGGTGTCTCAATCCACACCGTGCCGCCAGCGTCGTCGGTTGCACGACGCTCCAGCAAGTCACGCGCAGTCATGTCAGCGTAAAGAAAGTGCGACTCGACAGAAGTATCGAGCATGTCAGCCAGCGCGCGCGCCAGCGTCGTCTTGCCGTCGCCCTTTGGCCCGACCACAACCAGCGGAGTACCGAGCGCCACCGACGCCATCATCGAGGCGAGCACTCTCTGTTGCGGCGAGGTGAGGTGGGGTGGGACTGGCCTCGGGCTGGCTACGACCTGGCCTGCGAGCGCAAAGGTATCAAACTCCGGCGGGCCGAGCGCGTGTTCCGCCATGACAGCATCGAGCGACTCACCATCTAGGTTCAGCACAGGGAGAACAATACTTGCCAGGGCGTCGGCGACCGGAGGCGTAAATCCTAGAAGCGGGAGCGGGTAGATGAGGAGGAGGAGCGAGAGCGCAGGCGGCAGTAGCGAGACCAGCCGAGCGAGGCGCGCAACCGAGAGGAGCGCCGACTCGGGGAGCGTCCTCAAGTAACGGAACGCCATGTCGCGTGAGTGCAGGCCTGGTGCATCAGCCGCCGAGCTCTGTGCGTCCCGCAGCGCCCACGCAAGCGAGAGCATGGGGCCAAACGCGGCTTCAAACTGCGGGCGGGCCAGCTGCGATACGACCGCCATGGCCTCGGCGAGGACCGGAACCGGCGTCGGCGTTACAGCCCGGGCCTGGAACCGCGAGCGCAGCGGCGGGTCTAACGGGTTGCCTGGGTACGGCGGAACCGGGAGGCCGATGGCGATGACTCGGAAGCCTGGGTTGACCTTCACCAGCCGCAGCGCGTCGAGCACTCTCAGCGTGGCACCACTCCGCTCACCGCTCCCGCCCAGCAGCTCGTCGTAACGTTCCGGGGCCATGAGGAACCGACCGTCGTCTAGCGGCAACTCTCTGTTCTCAAGCAGGTTGTTGATGATGGGCAAGACGTTGCGTTCGCACTGCTGAAGGCCGTCGAGAATGACGATGGCGCCGTTTTCGGCGCTGCTGGCAGCAGCCTGCACCAGCGGCGAGTCGACGAACCGCGACGAGCCGTCTGCGCTCAGCTCACGCCGCTGCTTCAGATCCGACTCGGCAGTATCGCGAGTCAGCGGAATGAGGACATACGGCTTGCCACGAGCAGCACAATAGGCAAGCGCAGCTGTCCGGGCGGCAGCATCAGGTGTCGCCAGCAGAAACATGTCCTGACCGAGATCATCCTTCTTTGCCATCCACTCACCAAGAGAGTTCGGAAGGCAGATACAAACAGATTTGCTGCTGCTTGTGGTGGTCATGGTACTTCTCCCAAAGCCATCGCTTGCAGGACACCATGGCGGATGATGAATGGCCGTAGGCGAGAAAAAGGTCGTAGAAAGGCGTCCGGCTGGTCTCGCCAAAAAGGTCGTGGAATGGCCGCCACTACCTTGCCTCGCTGCGCATGGCGAGAGTTGATGCAGGAGGACAGCAGTGCGTCTTCTGGACATGACACCAATATGTATGTATGTATGTATGTGTATGTGTGTATGTATGTGTGTGTGTGTGTGTGTGTGTGTGTGTGTGTGTGTGTGTGTGTGTGTGTGTGTGTGTGTGTGTGTGTGTGTGTGCTGGTGGTTGATGCTTGGGTGGAGTGTGTGCGTGTGCTGCCAAGCGGGCAGTGGTACGAGGAGGGTGTATCCAACCGCTGGGCCTTCCCCTGAGCGATGATGACCGCTGCGATGCGAGAGGGCTCATGTGTGCACAGTAGATATCTGGATGGGGTGTACGGTGGTGAGTCGATGACCACCAGTCCGCTCACAAACCCAGCCTCATAGTCATCATCGGCGTTCTTTGGTGGTACGGGGTAGCCCGCCGGGTTTGCCTGCGCCCGACTGCCAATGCGTCCAAAGCGGTGGCTGAGCGGAGCGTAGAGCTGGTGGTGCTACTCGACTCCAAAGTGGCACCTGGCTGGGCATGGCCACCCGAAGGCGGTCCCGCTCACGGTCGATCATTGCACGAGAGGAGATCAATTCAGGACGGATAGCCAACCAGAGCAAGGTCTTTACAGCATGGGTCAACTCCCACCTCCGTAAGCGAGACATGGCCCTCTCTGGTGACCTTGTCAATGCTGTCCAAAGTACGTGCCCGCTTACCCGCTCACCCGCTTGCACGGTCGCTCGCGGCGCAACCTTGCCTGGTACTTGGCGTATGAGGACACGCTCTACTCATTGCATGGGTGTGTTTGTGTGTTTGTGTGTGTTTGTGTGTGTGTGTGTGGTATTGTGTGGTGTGGTATTGTGTGGTGTATGGTGGACGCGTGCGACGAGATCCATAGACGGCGTTGCACTGTGTAACCTCATCGAGGTGCTTACGGTTCGCAAGGTGGGCAAGTTCCATAAGTCGCCCAAGTCGCCGATGCATGTCCGAGAGAATTTGGCGATGTTTCTGGATGGTGCACGGAGTGCTGGCGTGGAGACTACTTGCTCGGTGGAGAACATCTTGGAGAAGGATGTCAAGATGATCCTCGGCTTGCTCTGGGCACTCATCCGCAAGTTCCAGCTCGTGGTCGACTTTGACGACAGTGATGGGACGGGATCACCCAAAGCTGACCTGATCGCCTGGCTTCGTCGTCGCATCGGGGACTATCCGGGCGTCAACGTGGTCAACTTGTCCGGATCGTTTGCAGACGGCCTTGCTCTTGCCGCACTTGTCCACTCGTTTCATCCCGAGCAGCTCGAGTTTGCCACGCTCAAGGCGACCGAGGCCGAGGCCAACGTTGATGCCGCCCTAACAGCCGCCCAAGACGCGATGTACATCCCGGCGCTGCTCGATGTCGATGACGTCATTCTGTGCTCGACTGACGAGTACTCGATGATGACGTATCTCTCGTACTTTCGGTCTACGAGCGCGACCATGTGTCCAGGATCGAGCGTATGCGCTCAAAGTCGATGGCGCAGCAGGCGAGGCTCTCGTCAAACATCAACAAGCTGCGAAGCGCGCTCATGTCGGCCATCCGCGACAAGGACAAGGCGCGCGAGCTGGCCGACAACAGCGGGGGCGAGGGTGCAAGCTCAGACACTGCGCCGACCGATGCTGCCGACGTCGAGCTCGTGCGCGAGATCCAGAAGCTGCACTCGAGGGTTGCTGCCACCGAGGCTGCACTCGCTGCTGAGAAGCGGCGCAAGTGCACGAAGCTCCACTTTGATGCCCAGCATCATGTCCTGCTTGCCCGCGAGCTCGCCGACGGTACACTCGAGGCTCTCCAGCTTGCAGATGCTGCGATCGACACCGAGTCGCGGGCGATGATTCGGGCGGCGCGGCTGGTCTCGCCGGCACTCTGCTCCCGCGCCACAGGAGCAGTTGACGAAGCCAACAAAGTTGCAGCCGGTCTTGCGGCGGCGGTCAAGACCAAGCGCAACGAGTTCCTCCTCGCTGATGCACAGTGTGAGCTCCACCCGATGCTGGCTTACGTCCTCGACGGCTCGCAGTACGCACAGGAGGCAGCCGCTACCCATGCACTCGTTGAGCGGCAGGCTGCGCAAGTGACTGTGCTGGAGGAAGAGGTCCGCGCTGGAGCTGCTCAGGCTAGCCGCGACCGCGCAGCATGGGAGACGTCGGAGCGCGAGCTCCGCGACGACTTCCAGGCCATGCGCGAAGGAATGGCCCGCGAGAAGGCGAGCTGGCGGGAGCGCGAGCAGGTTGCAGAGGCGCGAGCCAGCGCGGCAGAGGCTCAAGTTGGCTCTCTCCGGGCCGAGCTCGACGCCAAGAATCGTGCCGCTGACGCGATTGAAGCCGGGCTTCGCGCCAAGATGAACGAACTCAACGCCGAGCTCACCCGCCACCGTGACGATGCTTTCGCTCACCGGTCGACCGCCACCGAGCTGCGAGCGCAGCTCGAGGCCGAAACAGCTCAGCTGCAGGCGCTTGTCGACGATCAGGCGACAAACCACACCCAGGCGAGCGCCGAGCACGAGGCCCAGCGCGCGGCACTCACCGAGCGCATGCAGCTGCTGCAGCGTGATCTGGAACTGCACCGACAGGCTGAGGATAAGCACGCGGCGGCGGCGGCAGACAGCTCAGCAGCGCTCGACGCCGCCGAGCGGCGCTGGCGCCAAGAGCGCGAAGCGTTGTCGGCTAGGCTTGCTGAGCGCGAGGAGCAAGTAGCACAACTCGACGCGCGCCTGCGGACAGCGCAAGACGAAGCTATCGAGTCGCGGCACGCAGCCGAGTTGAAGGCTGCCCAGCTGCAGGCGTCGCTGAGCTCCGCACAGGCGCGGCTTGATGCGCTAGAGTCCGAGCTCGTCGCGAGTCAGGACGCAGCCCGGGACGCCGTTGCCGAAGCCCGCAAGCTTGGCAGCGGATTGGAGGCCAAGACGCAGGAACTGAAGCGGGCCGAGGCCACGTTTGCGGCTGAAAGCGCCCGAGCTGCGGGCCAGATCACGAATCTCGAGACCGCGCTTGAGCGCGCCAAAGAGAGTCACCTTGCCATCCTCGCCGAGATGACCAAGTCATCCAGGGCTGCGCATGCTGAGAGCTTGCGACTCGGCAGCGAGCTGACCGACAGCCAGCGTGCTGTGGCGGAAGCAAGCGACGCCCTACGGATGGAAACGGCGCAGAAGAAGACGCTGCAGAGCCGGCTGGACACGCTCAACGACGAGCTGGAGCAGCTTCGCAAGACGCTCAACACCGAGCGTGACGAGAGCCGCGCTGCGCTCCGGGTGGCTGTCGATCGGGAGCATGCGCTCCACGGCGAGGTTCTTGATGCTGACAATCGGGCTGCAGCGGCAAAAGCCAAGCTCGAGGCATCTGCTTCTGCTGCACAGACAGCCGAAGCCGATTTACGGGCGCGAATGGCGTCGCTCGAGGCCGAGCTGGCGAGCCGGGCGTCTGAATCGGGCGCTGCTGTTGCGCAGCTTCGAGATGAGCTGGCTGCGCAGCGAAAGGCAGCAAGCGATGCGATGGCTACTGCCGCCGCAGCTGAGGCGGCACGGGACACACATGCGCGTGCTGCCGATGACCGCGAGCGCGCTGCTGCGCGTGAAGCCGAGATGCTCAAGCACACGATGGCTATCCTGGAGGAGCGAGTGACGGCGGCAGAGGATCAGGCGGCGGCGGCAGAGGATCGGGCGGCCCAGCTTCACCGCGAGATGTCGTCGGCTGCAGCTGCAAGTCACGACGAGCTTCGCGAAGCGCTGTCCAAGGTAACTCGCCTCGAGGCAGTAGTAGCGGCCAAGAGCTCTGCGCTTGCTGCGGCAGAGGCGCGGAGTCAGGCGCTTGCATCTGACTCGGAGCATGCGTCGGCAGCGGCTCGTGCGGCTGCTGACGCCGCAGCCGCCCAGCACGCAGAGTTGAGCAAGACCAATGCCGAGCTACGAGTGGCGGTCGGAGCAGCAGAGCGGCGAGTGGCGGAGCTGACCACCACGCGAGACACGCTGTCGGCGCAGCTCGAGGTGAGCCGGGAGACGCTCGGCCAGGTTCGAGCGACGCTCGAGATTGAGAATCAGACGCTGAGTGCTGAACTTGAGACGGTACGTGCAGCGTTCGACGCGGACAAGATGGAAGCAGCGGCGCGCGACGCACGGGCAACGGCTGCGATTGAGGCGCTTGAGGCCAAAGTGGCAGTGGCGAAGCAGGCGGCTGAAGACGCTGCAGCCGAGGCTGAAGCACTCGAGGCCGAGGCGGCGGTAGCACAGGCCCAGGCCGCTGAGCTGCAGCCGCGGCTGGCTGCAGCCGAGGCAGCACTTGCGTCTCTGCGCGATGAGGCTGCACGGGCTAGCGCCACAGCGCGTGCGCTGGCAGAGGAGCACGAGGCTCGCATGGCTGCAGCCCTCGCGGCCAACGTCGAACTGGCCGACAAAGTCCGTGGGCTGCAGGCCAAGGCACAGGCTACTCGCGCGTCGAGCGCGAGTGAGCTCTCACGGGTGGCGGCAGAGGAGGCTCGACACCGCGAGGCGCTTGCACGCACGGAAAAACTGCGGGCTGATGCCTTTGCGCGCGCCGAGCGTGCCGAGGCTGAGCGTGCCGAGACTGCCAAGGCGCTGAGCGAGGCTGAAGCGCAGATATCCAGGCTGGAGGGGGCGGAGCGGATGCTGCAACATGATATGGGCAGCATGCGCGCGGAGCACGGGAGGGCCAAGGCGGATCTGCGGCGGCAGGTGGTACAGCTGCAGGCTGCTGTAGACGACGGGGCACGTCGGGAGGCTGAGGCCGAGGCGCTCGCGCGGGCGGCAGAAGAGCGGGCTTCGCAGGCAGAGTTTAGCTTGATGCGGGTTCAGGCTGAGCTGGAAGTCGACCGTGGCCAGGCGGAGCGTCTACTTGCGGAGCGCAAGGCTGACCGGCAGCTGCTCGACGTGGTGTCGCGGGAGCGTGAGGTGGCACAACGTCAGGAAAAGGCGGCGCGGGTCGAAGCTACCAATGCAAAGGCCGCGGCCGAGGCGGCTGAGGCCAAGGCTTCGTCGCTGGCTGTCGAGTTGGCGGTGACAACGAGCGCGCTGGAATCGCTCGCGGCGCAGCACAATGCCGAGGCCGAGCAGCTGCGCGCCGCCGTGGCAGCAGCGGAGGAGGAGGCGGAGCTCCAGCGTGTGGCGGCGACCAAATACCAGAAGCTGCTTCTGGCGTCTGACAACTCACGGGCCGCGCTCAAGCTTGCGCGCGAGAGCGACGCGGCGGCGGCGGCGGCGGAGCGCGAGTGGAGCGAGGGCGCGATGGCGCGGGCGACGCGCGGGCAGTCGGAGCTGCTGCAGCTCGACTATCTGACCGGGGAGCTGTCGGCGACGCAGAAGCGAACGAGCGAACTCGAGGGCCAGCTGATGGCAGCAGCACAGGAGCTACTGGCAGCCCGAGATGAGATCGACCGGCTGCGACCAGAGACGCGGTCGGTCGGGGTGCAGGTGGCGCTGGCTGCGCGGCGGTCGAAGCGGTCAGCAAGCGTGGTCTCAGAGACATGGTCCGAGACGTCGAGCCCCGGGCGACCGCAGGTGTTCTGGTGGCAGGGTAAAGTGTAGCAGTCGCATCAGCGTTGCGCGAGTTGACTATGCATGGCGTGAGCGGAGAAGCTCGGCAAGGGCCGGATGGCCCATTTCGGCAGCAACGTCAGACGGGACATTGCCCTGATCGTCGGGCCCGGCGACGGCTTTGTGACCATAGGAGTCGAGGAGAAAGAGGCAGGCGGCGGTGTTGCCGCGCTGGGCAGCCTTGTGCATCGGAGTTCGACCGGTCTTCTGGCGGGCAGTCATAAGGGTGGCGGCGGCGTGCGGCGAGCCGGCAGCGTCGATGACCCACTGGAGGCAAGCAAGAGCTAGGTCGCCATCGTCAGAGTCGTTGTCCGCGGGCGCGGCCGAGGCGCCCGGCGGGGTGGCGCGGACCGACTTGGCGGTGCACATAGAGGCCCAGTGTGCAGCAGCGCAGCCCCAGTCATTGATGCGGGCAAGATCGGCGCCGGCGTCAAGCAGAGCCTGGGCGGCGTCAAAGTGTGCGCCGTAGAGCGCGAGATGCAGGGGGGTGGTGCCGTCGCCAGTGGGCACATCGACCAGCAGACCGCTAAAGCGATCGGCGAGCAGATAAGAGACGACTGCCGTCTGGCCGTTCCGCGCAGCCCAGTGCAGGACAGTTCGGCCGCCGCGGGTCCCGCCTGTGTCGCGGGCAGCCAAGGCGGAGGTATCGATGGCGCCTGGCCCGCGATTGATGAGCTCGTCGAGGACATCGACATGGCCGTTGCCCGCGGCCCACTCTGCGGCCGTAGATCCGTGTTTGTCAAGACCCTGAGTGGTCCAGTCCCAGCCTTGAGCAATAAGTGTGCGGACAGCCGACAGATCGCCAGCAGCTGCGGCGAGGAGACCGGGATGTAGACCGCGATGAGGATCAAAGACGAGGCCATTCCGATCGATACCGGCATGGATCTTCTCCTTCTCGGCCTCGATGAGAGCGGCATCAACCCCACTCTGTCCGTCGACAGTAGATGATGCCCAGTGACCTTGTCCCGGGCGGTGGAAGGTCTCCAGGTGGGCCCGGAGCCCCCTTCCACGGGCAAATCGCTTCCGCCACATGGGCCGAGGGCCCGGGACGACGATGAGCTTGCGGGCGGCCTGGTTAGCAGCAAAGCGGCGGTCTCGCTCGGCCACACACACAGGACACTTGACCCATCCGTCGTCGACCCCGCGGCCGGTCGTAGTTGCTCCGTCGATGATGCCGGCGAGGGCCATGTGGTGGGTTAGGGGAGGGGGGGGGTGCTCGGGCGAGACGAGTGTGGGATCGGACTGAGTGGAGTGGCGGGAGGAGGGGGGGGGGGGGGGGGAGGGGGATGTTACTGGTCGGGGCCCATCATGCTGTCGACGTTCTGGGTTGTCGGCATCGATGAGTTGACAGAGTCGAGGACGGGGATGTTCGAGTCCGAGGTGATACTCTCGAGGGGAATTCCGTCGTTGATGACGAGCTGGGCCTCGCTGCCGTGAGCGAGATGTTGAACGTCGTCGATGGCAAACGAGCCGTGCGGGCCGGCAGCAGCAATGAACACGTCGTCGACATCGTCACTGGAAAAAGCCTTGCCGGCAAAGGCGCGATCGACGGCCGCCTCATCGCGGGCGCGGATGCGCCAGACTTCATAGGCGACGCCGAGGATGACAACAGCGAGGAGGGCAAGGAGGCTGGTGATGACCACAGCGTCGCGGAGGTGGTGCGAAGAAGTGATCGTCCCACCCCACAAAAGTACAAACGAGCAGAGGACAGTGATGGCGTCAAGGATGTTGTGGTAGTCCTCAATGTAAGGCCGATGCCGCAAGGCGAGTGAGACAACGGCATGGCAGGCGAGGAAGAGCGCGACTAGCGTGGCCTTGACCGTCGCCGATCGAAAGGCACAGACCGCAACCACGACAAAGAGCTTGCGCCCCAGAATCACCAGCTCATAGCCGTAAAGATGCGGCTTGTAGCGTGCCACGAGAAAGGCGTACCGCGAGACAAAGCTGAACATGTCGAGGCGGCGATGCTGGCGGCGGAGGAAGACTGCAAGGACGGTCGGGATTGAGAGCCCGTAGCCCGCAGCCACAGTCAAGATCATGGGTAGGAGACCGTACCAGGCGCCTGTGTAGCATCGTCGCTCGGGGTTGGTTGTCATGACCACAATCCCTCCGCCGACGTCCGTGCAGTCAACGTAGCGCAGGGCGGCGTACATCAGCGGGAGGTAGAGGAGAAGGATGGTCTGCAAGTAGCCGCGGCCGGCGGCAGCCAGAACTCGCGGATTCGGCGTGATAGGCGAGCTCTTGGCCTCGGCGATGTTGACGGCGATGTTGACGGCGGCGGTGACGACGGCAAAAGGGAGCAGAAACAGGACGGGTAGCGCCATAGTCATGCCCCATTTGAACATCCACACATCGCCGACGTCGAGGCCGCACTCGGGCGACGCAAGATCAAGGTTGAGATTGACGAGCGAGACGGCGTCAAAGACGGCTTCGGCAATCGGGTGCCACTCGAGGCGGATAGTGCCGTAGAGCGCGACCGATTGCAGCGTGTTGAGGGCGATGACAAAAGAAGCATAGCCGTAGACCTTGGTGTTGCGAGTGTTGATCCATACAACGCCGGTCACGTAGACAAGGACCAGGACAACAAGCACGACGACGATGACCGCGTTCGATCCCTTGCACTTGCGGCACGAGTCGCTCAGCCGATAGTAGCCCGACGCGCACTGCGCGCAGAGTCGACCGGTGTATCCGGAGGAGCACCTCCCGTCGCCAGCGCAAGCCGCCTGCTGCGGGCATGCCACAAAGGCCGAGCCATCGTCGGTGGTCTCATAGCCCGGAGCCGCGCGCGGCGGGGTGTTGCCTCCAGCACACACAGCGCCGATCGGGCACGGCACACACGGCTTGCCGCGGGTCCGTGGGCCATATCCAAACCAGAACGTCGGCAGACAAGTGCAGTTCAAGAACGACGGCGAGGCCTCGGGCGATGCAGTGAACTCGGGACAGGCGGTGCAAGTCGGCGAGTTGATTTCGTCCGAGTACGAGCCGGCACCGCAGGTGGTGCATCGCACGCCATCGAGGACGCGCGATCCAGGCGCGCACGTCGCGGCGGCGGAGAGCACAAACGGCGAGCCGAGAATGTCGTCGCCGGCGATCTCTACCACAAGAGTGTACGTGCCTCCATCGTCAACGACGAGCTCGAAGGCAAGCGTGTCTGCGGCGACGTAGACCGGTTCGATCAGGCGACTCACCCCTCCGGACTTGATGGTGACCGAGACATGGTCTGCGGGCGGCTGCTGCGCCAGAGCATTACCATAGGCGTCAGCAAGATGGACGGTGTACCAGACCGACTTGCCTGTCTCCTGATCAAGGGTGCCCGACGGCGGCAGGTCGACGAGGTACGAGCCAGTGGGCGAGGCAGGTCCCGGGCGGGTGGTGACGGTTAGTGACGTGAGCCCATTGGTGATAGGAAGGTTGTTGATGGCAAAGTGGTACACAAAGGTGCCAATGGTGGTTGGGGCACGGGCAACCGCGGTGTACTCACCAGTTGTCGGCATGGTGATCGAGGTGAGGACCGAGTTTGACGAGCCGAGTGCGCCGGCGAACAGCAGATCGGTGCCGGTCGATGTTGGGATGTTGTTCACGTCGCGGAGAGAGTAGTAGATATTGTAGTCGGCACCAGCATCCAGAGTGAGCGGTGGGCTCGTGTCGAGGGTGACAAAAGAGAGCGCGATGTCGAGCGAGGAGCAAAAGGGGGCAAACGAGCCGGACCAGGCGGATCCGGCGCTGCAAGTCCGCGAGACGTCGCCAACGACAGAGAATCCGGCGTTACAGCTGTAGGCACAGGTCTCACCATAGGCAGCCGGGTGCGAGGTGTTGGATGCACCGGAGCAGACGACGTTGCCGTTGACAGGCACGCTGAGCGGAGCGCACTCGACGTATTCGCAGATGGTGATGTTGCCGGACCAGCTGCCGCCGATGCAGGTACGGATCGCCGGGCCAGATACAAGACTGATGCCCGGATCACAGGCTATGGTCGCCACCGAGCCAGTGTAGCCAAAGTTGGAGTAGGTGATAGTTCCGCCAACGAGCGGTGGGATGAGCGGGCAGGCGTATGGCGGCGGCGGCGATGGCGGCGGCGGCGACGGCGGCGGGGACGGTGGTGGCGGCGGTGGCGGTGGGACGCATGTGATTGTGCTCGGGTCTGACGACCAGGTCCGGTCGGGCCGACATGCTACATATGGCGATCCGCGGGTGCCTGAAAGGTAAGCCGGGGGGTGGCATGCGAGGGCGAGGGTGTCCCCGATGGCGGCGGTCGTGGCGTTGACCAGGGGATCAAAGGCGACGGTGCCGCCCGCGAGCGCCGGGAACGGGTCACAGTACTGGATGATGCCGATAGAGAGGGCTGGCGTACCGCCTCCCGCCTCAGTTCCGACATCGAGGTGAGCAAGCTGAGGGTAGCAGTTGTTACAGGAAAGGCGGACGAGGAGAAAGTCGGTAAAATCCGGATCGGAGATGACAGCGTGGACGAGGGCAGCAAACTGAGCATCGCCTGCACCGATGACAAAGGGCTCGGCCGAGGTGAGCGGCTTGGTGTACGCCTCGCCCTGCGATGTGGCCACAATTCCATTATAGTTTGTGAACGGCGGCGTTGTGAGCAGGTTGCGGACGCCATCGAGATTGAAGAAGGCCATACTGTAGTAGTCGGAGGGTAAAAAGCCCCACAGGACGTTGTCGAAGCGAACAAAAGTCGTGTCGGGATCGATTCTCCAGATGCCTGAGAGGTCGAGGAGCAGCGGAGAGAAGCGAAAGGCGAGATGGCCAAAGAAAATTGTCGGGCGATCACTATCTTCTAGTGGAAAAGTAGCAAAGGGATGTGTGTCCATCTGGACTAGCATGTCCGAGGTCTTGTTGGCGTGACCAACGACGACTGCCGGCGAAGAAGATGCCGTGACGCACGCGGCGACCATGACAAAGACGAATACATGGCTCACCAGAACGAGTGTAGCACTTGAGGAGACAGAGAACATGACACAGTGTGGAAGAATGTGATACAATAGACGGCTTTGGTGTTCAAGAGAAATGGGGAACTTGACTGTTTTGCTCTGTGGCAGTAGGGGGGGGTGGGGGGGTTCGGAAAAATATGGGGCGCGCAGGGGGAAGGGTAGGGGGGGAGGGTGGGGAAGTGGGGGGGGGGGATAGTCGAGGCGATGGCTCTACTTGTACGACTGGCCTACGGATGTGAGGACGAGGACGTTGACGGTGACAGAGACGATGCCGCCGATGGCACCGCCGATGATGAGGGCCCAGGCGCCGTAGTAGTAGGCCGGCGATGGGCTCATCAGGTGGTAGAGGCGGACGTAGAAGAGGCCTGGGAGGATGTAGACGATAGCGACGCCAAAGACGGAGCCTGAGAAGCCAAAGACGGTGGCGACGTTGTCGGTGGCAATGGCGATGCCGTTGGTGATGAGGACGATGGCGACGGTGAGGGCCTTGAAGCGCCAGTACGGCGGGTCGTCAGCAGCGGCGGCAACAGGGGAGGCGCTGCGGAAGAGGAACGAGTCGAGGTTCTCGCGGAGAGCAAAGAGGACGAGCGGGTAGGAAAGGATGAGGGCGAGGCCAAGAGTGAGGCGGGCGATGAGGACGGGGACCCAATCCGGCGAAAAGTTGTTGAGGACATCGCCCTGGGTGTGCTCGCCAAACTGAAAGTAGCCGATGAGGGCGTAGGCAAGATACATGATGAGGGCGACGAGGCACGAGGTGTTGGTGACGACGTGGATGCGAGTCGAGGACCGCTGAGCAAGCTCGCGGTAGAACGAGAGCGCGTTGTAGTGGGCAGTGTAGGCGACGACAAGAAGGGGAAGGCGAGAGTGAGGCCGGGCTTGAAGCGGACAAGCTTGACGGATGGCTCAATGCCAGTGTCCGCCAGGTGATCCGCGAGGACACCGAGGGTGTAGACGACGCAGACAAGGGCGAGCAGCGAGGAGTACTGGAGGGCGTCGAGGCGCTGCGGGAGGGAGAGTGGGAGCATAAAGACGACGGCGACGGCAGCGATGATAAAGTCGCGGTTGACCCAGAGTGAGGAGGAGGAGAGCCAGTGGGCAAAGACGCGCGGGATAAAGTCGCCGATAAGAACGCCGCGGCCGATGCAAGTGCCAGCGGTGTAGCAGATGAGGATGAGCTCGCAAATCTTTGCCATGCGCATGCCGTAGGCGCGGACGGCGATGTCGCGGTAGGAGAAGAGGCCTGTTGCATCGTGGAGGCGGATGAGAAGCGAGAAGGAGAACATGGAGGCGATGCAGGTGACAATGAGCATGACGCAGCCGATGATGGTTCCGGCCGAGCGGAGAGCATACGGCAGGGTGATGACGCCTGCGCCCACGATGGTGTTGGAGAGGTTGAAGATCGACGACGGAATCGAGGCTGTGCCGTAGCTCTTGAGTGGCGAGGTGATGAGTGCGGTGTCTTCGGATGCATGGGCTGTATTGACCGTACTGTGGACAGAGAGGAGAGGTGGTGGTGAGTGGGATGGGTAGGGATGAGGTAGGCAAGGGATGAGGTGGACAGGCAGGCAATGGTGAGGCAGGCAACCAGCCAGCGTGAGGCATGTAGGACGAGCTAGCACACGTACGTATTCAAGGTGGGGCCAGGACGGGACATGGCTACAACCACTCTGTTCCCGTCGACAACAAGGTGGGTGGTGGTAGTCCTGGTGGGGAGGAGTGGTGGCCGAGGTTGAGACCAGGGCATGTGTGTGTGTGGTGGGG